TGACCATGACATCAACAGCCACACCAGTCTTCCAGTGGAAAAATGACCACAGATCTCCAGCCATTTGCAAAACCAAGTTGGTCAAGTCCACAACCAAAGCAGAGCTGTTTGTCTCTTCAGATACCTCAAGAAGTGCAAGGAGTGGAAACATGAACCTTTCCTGGGATCACTGTCCTCTAGGGACTAAACTACCGTGTGGAAATGCAAGTAGAAGATCTAAGAATAAAGTAGAAGATCTAAATAAAAAACAAGTAGAATACCTAATAAAGAATCCAATAGAATACTCTGAATTTGCAGCTTTAACGTTTCTTTCCACGCCACACTGTAGAAACACAATGGAAGCAGACTTGGCAAATACCATCCATATGTTTCACAAAATCACTGAGGGAGCACAATGTGAACATTACTCCTGGACTGGATCAAGAGAATGCATTAAAAAAATGCATAAGTTTAATACAGATGTACATTAACTCAATCTTTGCTTATTATGGAATTAAAAACCGTATACCTGTAATTATGGCTTACCCCCATTACAAGCAGAGCTGCCACAGAACTGAACACAGGCCAGCTTTGTGCAGGAGTTCAAAGCCCGTGTGGTGTTGCCTTATTTTCTTACTAACATCATCTTTATCCTCTCTTGCCCTTCTTCTCAGTTAACAAGAGTTATGTACTGAAAGTGCTGAGATAAAGTAATGGTAAGGAGGATACCGCAAAAGGTATTTGAAAAGCAGAAGTAATTTACTACACGTCTGCTTTGTTTTACTTCCTAAGCCTTCCTGTTGTGAAAGGGAATTCATCTTTTCTGGCAGACTCCAGCCTTTTTAGGTCGGAGAGCTCCCCAGGAGCTTTCGAGTGCAGGTAAATGGATGTGAGACTCAAGGAGTACAGCACAAGGAACATGGGATTAATGCTGGGGTTTGCTCTGGCTGTCACATCTGACGTGCAAGGAGAGTGCTGCACCCTTGGCTGCAGCAAATATCTGTTAAAAAACCCACAAAGCTGAGTCCTGTGCTCATCCCTGCAAGCCTGGTGTGCCACGAATGGAAAGGTCGTGCTGCTGGTGGGTGAAGCACGGAGGATCTACACCCAACAGTGTCTCCACATGAGACAGACATCAGGGTGCCTCAGCAGAGCAAGGAGAAGCTCAGAGGAAGGGCTGTGGATGGACAATGGGTGCAGCCTGTATCCTGCACACAGCAGGGACCCCAGGAGGAAGCATCCACTGCCTAATCTAAATAGCACACAGAGTGGTTTTGTCCTCTTCTGTTCTCCGGCCAGTTTGCACATATGTTCTGAGCATACAGCCTGCCCTCTAAAGACCACTTACAGGGGCAATCACAGGGAAGCAAAGCAGGAAGAAAAGCATCCAAAAAGGGAATTTGTTCAAGAGAAAAAAAAAAATGGAGACAGATGTAGAGCGACTAGTCACGGCTGGCGGTAAATAACCCTCTGCCTGGAGTGCTCTCTTTCTCTAGGAGGAGTTCACATATTCCATTTCATATTTCCTTTCTAGGAAGTCAAATCTTTGTTTTCCTGGCATTTGTTCTTTTTTCCCTTCTATATGGTCTAAAGCCGTCCTCTCATTCTCCCTTTCTCTTCTACGTTTTGCTCTCTTTGAAGTGCATTGCTTCCCTCTTCCTCTCACACAGACCTGATTTCCCTGCACTGTCCCAGGCCACACCTTTCACTACCACCCTCTCCCAGCGCCTGTGCCACGAGCACGTGTGCTTCACACCTGCTCCAGCCTTTGAGTCTCCCCTCTTTCTCATGTGCACACCTCAAAATTAAGCAGATGCGACACACAGAGATGGAATATTCATCCTCTCACTCCCATAAACCTGTCAAGGCATATAGGCCAAGAAGCTATCTCTGCATAAATCTAAATCTCCTGTGAGGAAGCAATCTACTCCAAGGCAATAAAGGCAAAGGATGTATTATTATCTTTGGTGTGGATCCTACTGGGCTGGGAGGTTGGCTGCTGGCTCCTCTCTGAAGTTTCCTTCCCAGCCATCCCACAGACAAGTCTAAGCTTCCTTTCCTTGGTCTGATTTCCTCCTCCTGTTGTTTGGCCAGTAACCCAAAGGACAGGGTTTAATTATGGAGTTTGGAAACCTGGCTTGCACTACTCTGCCAGCACGGGATAAAACTTCAGCCTGTCTTCTGAAACAGCACCATTCTGCACTGCTGATACCTGTGTTATCCCACACAGCACAAAATGAGCTGCAGGGAAGAAATGCCAAGTTAAACAAAAAGATGGGTTTAGTCTTTAAACTTCTCCTGTGAATTTCACCGAGAAGAAAACAAAACACCGAAGCTCAGAGATTACTGTGTGCTAAAAACTGTGCCACCATTTTGATTGTAGATTAAATAAATGGCAAGGCCTTTCTCTGGAAATAAAGACATCAGAAAGGATGGATCTGAAACTGGTCCAGGCTCCAAAGCTCCTTCTCAGAGAGGAATGCTGTGGAAAGCCCCCAGCTAAAATGGGATCTTAACATCACTTGTACAGCTTTCAGGTGACCAAATAATTTTCTAGGCAGATGCCCCACTAAAGACTCCTAAAACATTTTGCACTTCTGGAGGTAAAACCCAAAGGGCCCCACGTTAGTGTCAGACCCAAGAGTGATGTCTGTGCATAGACCACAGCAGGACATGTCCCTTACACCTTGGGAGAGTGACACACCACTGCTGCCCTGGCAAGGAAGGACACTCAGCACTGTTTTGTCCTTCTCCACTGATGAGCTGTGGCTCTTCAGGTAATCCCTCTGTCAGCCGTGCTCTTGCAGTGACCCTGTTTTACAGAGAAGCTGAGGCAATGAATTCAGAGGACAGGCTGCTGGAAAGCCATGGCAGAAGCACTGGGGTGGGGCTGCGTGGATATAAGCACAAGGATGGCTTGGAAGTGCATCCCACGTGGGCAGGATAAAGCTCTTTTTCTTCACAGCTGTGACAGTGATAGATGGCTTGGTGAATCTGAGCTATATCTAGTTGATACCTGGCTACAGTCCCTGATGCTGCAAGGTGATTTTCTGCCATTTTACAGGCAAGACTAAGCAGAATCTGAGATTTTTCTATAATAAGTGAGGAAGGTCACGAGGAAGAAAGAACCTTCTCTGGTCTGACTTGTTCTTGCCTTTCTGAGCACCTCAGGAAGTTTGACATGGGCAGCTGTGCTTCCTCATGGTGGGCACCCAGTGGTGCCAAGAGCAGCAGAGGTGTAAGGCTTTGGGTACTTCCCTTGCCCAAATCAGCAGCTCAGTGCCACCATCAAGCCAGGACTTGGATGAGCCAGAGGTAATGACCACATGTGGGGAAAACCACCAGAAGTGACAGCAGAATTAATAGCCAGCCTCTGGCTGCTGCACAAATGGAGAACATTTGTCATTAACAACGAGCACCCCAAACTTTGGGGGGAGCTGTCCCCCAGGCTGACAGTGATGCAGAAGCAGTGACCCCATCAGTTTTCAGCCATCTGTGTGTGCAGAGCAGGCTGTGAGCTCTCCCTCGCAGCCCAGCTTTTGTCCCGTTTCTGCCGCTCCGCGAGCAGAGGTTGAGCACCAGGTGAAGCTCTGCCTTGCATCATCTGGAGCCTGGAGCTGATGGAGGGGACAGCCCCTGGTGCCTGTGGAGCAGGACACCTCAGAGCAAACACCAGAGCCCTGGGGACGGCGGTGGCAAGGCAGTCACGGGGAGCCTGGCACTTGTCTGCCTGCAGGTCCACCCTCTCCTCCTGCCAAAGTGCCACATCTGCAGTCAATAAGGGCCCACAAGCTGGCTCCTCCTCATTAGAGGAGAGAGGGCAGCTGGCAGGGGATCCTCCAAGGGCTCCCAGGCACAGGAATCAGTCTCCTCCCAGTCTGGAATAGCCCAAATTTGGTGACTTTCTGGGCATGCTGTAAAGGACAGCTGTTTGACAGGGTCTCCAGAGAAAGCTGTGGGTATGTTTCCTACATGATGAAGGATATAGGTGGCTGGCCAAGTGCCCACAGAACTGATTTTAATGCTGTGCAGGTCGAATTTACTTTTCTGTGCTGTATAGTTCATTATACGCAGTGCCCTGGACAAGCATGTATTTTTTCCAAACAAACCAAACCCATACTATTTTAAATCCAGACAAACAAGAAAGACAAAAAATACATATTGCAAAAAGATGATCTGCACTTTTAGAGGACCTTCTCAAACTCTGGGAGGCACTGCTCGCCTTCCTCTAACAAATAAGGCTTCTGTTATTTTTATTGAAAATAAATACTTGATTATTTAGCTGTAAGCAACACTGAGGCATTAACTTCACCTATGCACATAGCACTGACCCAAAAAATATATAAAAATATTTCCAATAGTATTAAGCACCCAGATGATCTCAGGATAAGTGATCAATGGACAATTAAGTATGTAACATAACATAACCCAAAAAAATGACCAACAAGAAAGATCACACACATAAATTAACTGAGAAGAGGCCAAAGAGCTTCCTCAACGTTCTGAAGTATAAGACCCAGTGATATCTATTTTGATATGAAGCCTCCAATCACACTTCACAGCATTACAGATTAATAAAACAACTCCTTCTGTAAGTCTCTTAAAAGTCATTGCTAAGTGATCTCAAGTGTTGTATAATGCTTGAAAAGTCCTTCTACCTTATATAAGTTTAGGGATATTTATTTAAGCAGCATAACTGATGGAGCACAGCCCAGACAGGTACTGCTTTTTGCTAGAAAAAACAATCCCAGAACTGAATCTGGACAAATCAACAGAAAAAGACCGCCTATCTTTTGCTGCATTATTTAAATACTTCAGATATTTGGCCAAAACAGAGAAGTGACACACTACAGAAACATTCACAGCTGCAGGAGCAATAAAACCACTGCCATATTTTCATTAGGCTGTTTCTCAGAAGTGACGAGACGTCTAGAACTGGTCACCTCTCTAAGACAGCAATTCTGATAACGACACAGAGCAAGTGGAGATGATGTTCTGGGGCTCTGGGAGCCGGGGCTTACCTGGCTCCACTTCATGCCATCCACTGGACTGGCTGCCACTGCCTGGAGAGCGCCCTTGGCTTGTGTAGAACGGCTCCTCACCAGGGCTGTCCATCTCATCCTCCACAGACTTGAGACGTTTTGTGGAGCTGAGAAGGCAAAAAAACCCCACATAATGAAGGCATGGAAGAGGAACCAAGGCACTGCTGTTGGGACATGCTTGAGAATAATTCAAGGTAGAACGGATTTAGGGTGCTTTGGTGAGATACAAAACAACATTTCACAGGCCAAAGCCCTAAACTCACACCAGTTTGACCAGAAGTTAGTTTGACATTTAGGCTTTCACAGATTCAGAAGTAGGACATTTTTCAAAGCACACAGAGGTCAATAAGAAGGCAAGAATTTCACTTGCATTGCGTGGTCCTTGCAGTTTGAATGAATATGGTGATGACACACAAGACGTATTTTCACCACCAGATTTTTTTCATGGCTAATTCTGAAAGCAAGTTGTTTATCAGTTCAAACTTCTATTTTCAATCTTTTCAATTAGCCCAGACTTCAGTCCCATAAGAAGAAACATAGGCAAGTGAATGATGGAAGAATCCATTCTTGGTTCAAATGTTCATATTATTTTGCAATAAGAACCATTTGACTCTGCAGCTGTGCCAGCAAGCATAGAAAGCCCCCAATGGGTATCTCTGGCCAGTGTCAGCATTAAAGAATCCCCCTGTGATACATCACACCTCCCTCACCAGAGGCTCAGGACACAGAAGAGCCCTTTGAGTGGTCTCTGGTGGCCACTGGCTCCAGCAGTTCTGCAGGGAGAGGATCCCAGAGCCAAAGACACTCAGCTTGGCTCTGCTTTCCATAATGAGTTGTACAGACTGCGTGGGGACCTTACTGAGAATTTCTCTTCTAAGTACTTTTCCAAGGCTGGGCCAGCTCACTTTTTTTTTTTTCCCCCAAATCTGTATTCTATTAAGATTTAAGGCATTCAAGAACAGGCTCCTCTGTTTAGGGGGAACACATTTAGCAGACATAAAATCTTCCACTATTGGTTTAGAGCTTGCAGCCTTCCCCACCCGAAGCTCTGCACAGGTAGGAGCTGGCGGGTGTGCAAAAGCAGTTGGTGAGAAACAGGAAGAATAAGTCTTATGGCATGTGTGGAATGCAGGTTTGGCCATTCCTTAATTTAGAGAATTGTTATGTGTCAATAGGGGAAATTGTGTGCATACAATATAATTACCGCCTGATAATTCTGCTGAGTCTGTGTATTTAAAGAATTTTTTTTTTCTGACTGGGAACAGCCTAATGAGAGGAAAACAAACATATTACCAAGTTATTAACTACCCATGCTGTTTATAATTAGCTCCTTATCAGTGGTAGCTATTTGCAGAAGAATAGAAGAGCAACAACTGAGCTCTTAAGTAACATTAATAACCTCACTTTTGCTTCTGGAGTCACCAGTAAATTCTACCTGAGAATGGTGCTAATGATGAGTGCTGTAGGCTACACAGTTTACAGGCTAGAAAGAAACAGCACAAAGTTTTTAATTGATGTGTAATGGGAATTGTAGTCACTGAGCTTCATAACATGCACACTAAGTGCAAGACAGAATGTTCTTCCAATCACTGCAAACTGTAAGTTACTGCTGAGCCTCTCGTTAAAGATTATTATTTTTAAAACCAAAACAACAGCTATATTCAAACCATAGAGATTTTTCACACGTGCACTTGCTCACTGCAAAGCTGGTGGCACTGCAGGCTGAGATAAAAATGTAAAAGAGTGTTGGGCGGGAGTTAGACTTTCTTGTCATGTCTTTGAAATAAGTGATCTATTTTGGCTGTGGGGGAAAAAAGATCAATCTGGTTCCTTAATAGTGTTCAAGACTACTCGAGTGACTGAGCTTGTTTATAAATCTAATCTCATGGATGATTAAAGTGAAAGGTAAAAAATAAAAAATATCCTTGTTTGATAGTTGGCATCTAAGCCAAAATCAAAATCAGATGGGGCAGTCATCTGCACTAGCAATTCAGTTTTCCAAAGGCTGAGTCACAAACTTCTAAATGCTTTATGAAAACGAAATGCTTTATAGACCAAGGTACTAAAGCAGTCTTAGTCTCACAGGTAACACTTTTTACAATAAAGAATACATGCAAGTCTATCTTAAGCCTTTCCTTGCATCTTATTATGCTCCAAGTTCTCTTCTGCCACAAGCTGGAACTCAACAATTCCAGTGGAACTTCTGATACACCCAGATGCAACCAGGAGCTACACAAGTCCATGCAGCAGTTTCTCTTAGGGGCTTGTACACACAAAAAGAACTTTACAGCAATCCAGCTGAACATTCAGCTCCGTGAGTCTGAAACAGCTCCACATTGTGAGGCCCCCAAACAGCTTGTCAGAGAATTTAATGGTTACTTTCCCAGATGAGTAATGATGCTGGCCTGGGTTTCCAAGGAACCTGGTAGTAGGCAGAGATTGAATTACCTGGTAGAGGATGTGCTAGGTAAAGACCTCCTCATTGCTCCTGGGCTCATGCTGTAGTATGAAGAACTTTCCAAATCTGAGAGGGAGAAATTAGGGCCTGTTCCTGCAGCTATCGGTGCTGGGGAAACAAAAGAGATTGCAGTCAGTAAGTCATGTGAATATGGCATGAATTGCACTTCAAAATCACTTTCTTCTTCCTCATGAGTGTGTTTAGTTTCACAATGGGAACAGGTGGGATGTGGAAATTAGGAAATGCTAATGGTACCTGGCATTGCAATCAAGAAGATGTAAATTTTACCAAGAATACAATGTTCCATGATGTAGAATCTCTCTTACATTCCTCCAAAGATATTATTATTATTTTTTAAAATTAAACAATTATGACTTCCTCCAAGCGCTGCTTTTCTATTAACGTCATTCTAACATTTAATGAAACTTGTTGCTTTTAGGACCACATTGTCTCTATTGGCATGGCTACAGATAGGCTGCATCATCCCTGTAGAGTGCTTGGCAGGATCTACAAGCAGCACAGGCAGGGAAATACACACCTCAGAACCTCTGGGGTACATGTGATGTACAGCCACAAGCACAGAGGTTAAAAAAGCAGATGAGAAAGTTGAGTTCTTTTCTGCCTAAGAGCATCTGAGCTTTCCTCTGGCCTCTCCTCCAGCTAAATCAGAGCTCAAGACAAATGACTCCCCAAAAGTTTTACCCAGCACTGAGCTTCCACTCTTCACCTCATCACCTTGTCCAGTACTGAAATTTTTATTGCAAGGGAAATGAATCCCTGAGATTTCCCTGTCTTGGATCTTTGGTTTCACATTAAACATCTCTGATTATTACACACCCTGAAATTTGCAGGCACAAACCATGAACTCCATGTGCTGTATTCTTCTGGGAGCAGACAAGGAGCAGAGCAGCTTAACATTGAAGTCAGCAGAGAATGGATTTCGTGCTGAAATGCCACTAATACAGTAAATGGTACCATGTCCACTGTGGCTGTTCCAGTGCTATTTACAGGACAATACAACTTCAGGGGCTGACAATTACAGATCATGATTTTCTCTCACATTTCAGAGCCATCTGAAAAAGGACGTCCTGCACAATGAAATGCACCAGCTTGGCCTGGGCTGTATTGTCTGAGAGCCCTGATTCACAGCCACAAAGGCAAAGCAGTCTCAGTGCCACACAGGGATGCTGAGCCAAGTTTAATCTTTGGTCTGAGAATCTGGCCCATTTTCAAACATGAAAAAATCTTTCAGTCCAACTGGGAAGGAGTGAGGAAATGAAGACAGGATAGCTCCTATCACCCAGCTAACATGTCTGGGCTGGGAGTGCTGCCACTGACTGTAATGGGGCCAGTATTTCACCCCAAGTCTTAAGGAGCTCACAATGTCAGATTTGACAGAGGAATAATGTAGCTTTGCAGCTGCCTCATCATCCCCACAAGACAATTAGTTGTTGTTTGGCAAGGATCTTTTAAGAACGTCATTGAGACAGAAAGGGAACAGCCTGGATATCCACGGACTTTTAAAAGCTGGGGACGGAAAATGCACAACGCCATTAAAACTTGAGAAAATCTGGAATGATCATTAAAAGGAATTAAGTTGGGAAGTAATTTATGACAAGAACACTCAAATCCTTTGTTATCTTCTCTTAACTATCATACGCTTCCTGCACACTGGGTATATGAGAGGGTGTGTTAACAGAGGGAAAGAAAAATTAAGCACAGTAAAATTAACTTGTTTTATCAATTTGTGCTTTCTGCAACAGTTTCCTGACAGCAGCTACAAGAGGCTGTAAAACTGATGAATTTGCATGGAAAAAGAAACCGGTGTAAGTAATTTGTGTAAAAGGTAACAGGGACATGGACTGCTATAATTCAGACACCCTGCAGATAGCAGACTGCTGCAGTGTGTGCAGTTATGGGTTAGAAAAATGACCACACTGCAGTCAGTCTGACTTGAATGGAAATCAATCATAAAGGTACTCTCTGCAGCATCTACTCCACAGTTTTCAGCAACTTCCTTGCCAAACAGATTTGTGCTCTGCAAACCCTTTCCTGAGCAATTCCTCTGCATTCTCTGCCTCCCAAAGCCCAGCTTACAGGTTAAGCACACGCTTTTCCAAACAGGAACATAAAAAGGCAAGCACTAAATTAAAGCACTGTTTCTTTCTGAGGCACAGTGAATTTCCTGGACATTGCCAGATTTATGAAACAGTTTTATTCCAAGGAGATAAGGAAGAAAAACTGGTATGTGGGTAATGCTTCTCTTCTTTCTTTCTTTCCCCCTGCTGTGTTTATTGCCCTTTCCCCAAATCCTGGATATTTTTTGAGTTGGCCCTATAGAAAAAAGGAGTGTGTGTCCAGAGGAGAGGTAGGGTAGGAACAAAGTATTGCTGATGCTGTGTAAACTCAGAGCAAAGCAGAAAGGGCAGATGCCACAGGGGTTGCTGCCTGGGTAGCAAACACGAAGGATGCTGTGCTGGTCACCACGCCAGTTTGAAACCAGAGGGTTAAAGAACAAAACTCATCTTTAATAGACACCAGCAGAGGTTAAAGTGCCTGGCTGGGCTCTGGGGGCCAGTACCTGAATCCTGTGACAGTCCTTGCACAGGAGCCACCACCCTGCCACCACCAGCCTCAGGTCTCTGGCCCCAGAAGTGCTGTGGCAAAGGTTGCACAGGGCTGAGCTGTTCCAAAATCCCTTCTCCTGCCTTTCTCACAGTGCCTGTCTTCCACTAAAGCCTGTTTGTACCTTTGCTTGCAGTTATTGCATTTGCTACCATAATTCACAACAATGTGCTGGAGCTGTGGATGCCTCATCCCTGGAAGTGTCCAAGGCCAGGCTGGAGTAACCTGGGATAGTGGAAGGTGTCCTTGCTGGGCTTTAAGGTCCTTTCCAACCCAAACCTAAACCATTCTGTGATTCTATAACTCCCAGCAAAGGCAGCATCTCTGCAGAGCATGCAAAGTGGTGCAAACTGTGGCAAAACTCTTGTCCAAACTAAAAAACTCTGTCTAAACTAAAAAACTAAGTTTTTTTTAACCTGTTCATTGCAGCACCTGACAATCCACCACACAACCTCCCTACCCCTGTTCCTGAAACACACTCCAGCCCCACATGGAACAGTGTGGTGGGAGCTGCAGCCTCACAAACTCCACACAGGGACATCTAAAACACACCATTACCCCTGTAAGAAATGCTCTGCAGCAAAGTGACCTCCTGACAGCTCAGGAACATCCCCCAAATGGGAAAGGATGTCAGAAACTGCGAGTCAAAGCAAGAATCTCATCAAGATGCCACCTGACCCAGGGCTATGAGCTGGAAGGAGCTGAGAGAGAAGGATCCCTCTTGCCCCACACCCAGCCTGTAGCCCCCATTTCAGCTGCTGGCATCACAAAAATCTCCTGTGCAGCTGGGACACACTCAGAGGGACAGGTGGAGCTGGTTTGCCTAAACAGAGGAGGAGGAGGAGAAGGAGGAGGAAGGTTGGTGCCTCTGCCTGGCACTTTTCTACTCCCGGGATGCAGGGCAGCATCACCCTGATCCCAGCCTGCTCCCTCCAGCTCAGCTCCTCACCCAAAATGTCAAGAAAAATAATGGAGAAATTAAGAAAAAAGCCCTCTGACTTAACCCAATTGCAATATTTATTTTGAAAAAAATTACTGAATTACAGACCAGGAAACCCACTAAATAAAACCAGTTAGGCTGGCATTTGTCTCCCTTGGAATATGGCACTTTCTTTAAGCCACATTAATATTTAGCCTCTCTTTTTTTCCCCCCCATTTGTATGTATTTATTTTTACAGAGGGTCTGGGATGTGACTAAGATCATTACACGTGTAACACTGCAGTGAAGTGATAATGTGCTTAAGGTTAAATGGGAGAAACATGACATTTGACTAATAAACTTTTTCCTGTGTTGTGACTCCATAAACAAAGGGAAACACACTGTGCTGTTGCTGCTGGGAGGAAAGGGGAGCTGGGTGGGTTTTTTTGTTTTTTTTTTTTTTTTTTGCAAGGCCTTTGTTTGCTCCACACTGTATCATTAGATTCAAAGAGCTTTCGCCGAATACAACAGATATGAAATGTGTGATGTTCATTTTAAAATTACAAGTACAGCCTGCTATTGACCATCTAATTATGCTGAGTTCCATTTATAAACATAGCTAACCACTAAGTTTATAGAGACTTTTTGTGCTGCTTTAATAGGATATTGATCGAGAGCAAGGTTTGAGTGGACTGCCATTGAATTGTGTAATGGCATACAAAAGGCAAGGTCACGGCAACTGTTCACTCTATGCCTGCAGTCTATTTTTTATTATAATCTTTTTTTTTTTTCCCTCCCTCTTATACCCAAGCCCACACAGAGAGTTTTGGATAGCAGTGCTTTGCTAAGGAATATAGAGTATCTTTTTAAATGTTCATTTTCATGCTGCTGACTTTAACTGCCTTCACTACTGTAGTGCTTAGTATAGCAGAAAACTCACAGGCTGCAGCTCAGGGAGAGCAGGTTTATCACACCCTGGCTGCACACACGTGCTATGTGAGGAGCTCAACAGCCTCTCCTGGGCTACTAAAAGGCATCCACTGCCCAGCCCAGCCCCTCCACAGGAGCCAGGGCACCCAGGACGTGCTGGGATTCACTTTCCCTGTGGGAAAAGCTGGAAGAGAGGCACGCGGAGGCTCGGTGGCACCCACACTCCGTGCCTGGAGTGCTGGCAGTGCCTCCCCATCCCAGCCCTTGTCCTCATGGCAAGGACACTTCAGCCCCTGTCTGCATCCCCAAAGCTCCATCCCCAAGCCTGGCACCTGCTGCATCAGTGTGGCAGCACCCCGAGCTTCCCAAAACGCCCTGCCCACACCCATGGAATTAGTCTGAGTGTTTCAGGGATGATCAGCTGGGCCCTGTGTGTGCACAGGAGCAGTGAGCAACTTGGTGTGCCTGTGGTGCCACAGGCTCATCAGAAGGATTACAAGTCCCCCCCACTGCTCCTCGCTGCACACAGCACACGTTGAACCCAACGTGTGGCATTTTCAGGCCAGGGTGCAGTCAGAATTCCCTTGTTTATCAGCACGAAGAATGATGTCATTTTGACAAATAACACACCACCAAACAAATATGTTTGATTTGGCTCTAGCCAACGTTCATAAATCCTAAATCTTTCTTCACATCCTGGGCAGTGCAGTTTATCTGGCTGCTTGAGTGACCTCTGAGGGAGGAGATCTTCCCAACAGCTCTCCCTGCACAAGAGCACATGGTGCAGACTCAAAGCCAAGGGAGGAATGCATTCCCCGTGCCTTTCTCCCTGCTCCAGCCCTTGCCAAGGCAAGGGACACTTGGCACTTTCTGCAGAGGGTCTCCTCCAGTGCCCTGAGACTGCTGCCCACAGCCAAAGGAATATTTTCCTAGCAAGGGGAGAAAAGGAGGAGGTTTCACTTGGCCAACAGCTGGCTGTCAGTTCCCAAACCCGTCCATCCCCAACGCTTCTGCCTCTGAGCCTTTTGTTGTCAGCACAGACCTCTCCAGAGAGGGAAGAATGAAGCCTCTGTTATCTGCAAGGGTCTCCCCAGTATCTGGGGTGACAGACAACACTCAGAGAGGAGCTCACACCCTCTGCCTGCTAATAATGGAGGAGAACTGACAGCATGAGCTGCAACACCCACATCAGACGGGCTGGAGAGGAGGCTTTGTTTTTCAGATGCACATCTATGATCTCTTTTCTCTGTTTTACTAGGCTCTGCAAGACTCAGCAGCTGGGCAGCATTTCGAAAGAAAATCTGCATCTATAGGACTGAAGAAAGCAAGTTTCTGTTACCAACACGGTCTAGACTTGTTCAATAGCTCACAGAAAGTGTGATGATCAGCACTGATAGGCAAGATAGATAACAGAAACAGCTGACCTTTCACTTGATTAATTCATTCCCCAAATTTGCATGACGGAGACAACTGCCTCTTACTTGAGACTCCTTGTCATGCGGACCTCTGGGAACTTTACTAAATAAACCTGGCACATAATTGCTACCCACAATATTTTGTAAGATTAATTTTAGATAACAGCTGCCGCAGGCCAGTTAAAATTGGGGGAAATCACTTATTTCGATCATTATATTACCAAAAGCAAGCACAGCAAGAAAAATAACAGTGGGCATACACAAAGATGGAGTCTTTTTGGAAAGAGGACTGGTCTCAAATCAGAACACAGGAACATGCAGACAACCCAGAGCGGGTCATATTAACTTTAAAAGGACCTTGCCTACCAATTTAGGCAAATATGCAGTAATTACCTTGTTGCTCTGTTATGTTTAATAATTCTTTGAATATAAGCATGTGAATTAATACTGAGTTTTCTGGGAATATGCTGCTAGACTTGACACTAAACATATCCTATTGGGTAGCCAGGGCATGTCAGGCTGTGGGCTTCTCAGACCTCATAAAGTAAACAAGGTTAAGGCTGGTCAGTACATGTCTGGGGCATCTCCAAGGAAAATCCAGGGTGCTATCAAAAGCAGTGTAGCTAAATCAGTTGCTGGCACCCTTCCCTCTGAGTCAGTTCTGAAGTGATATCCCGATATGCTTTGGGGACACTATTTTTGGTAGAGGTGCTGGCTTGTAGACAGGATATAAAACTGAGGTCTTGACCTCCCAGGATTATTAAAGAGCCCATGAAAAACAGTGCAAACCCCCTTGTCTGGAACAGATAAAAGCTGAATCTTTATATTTTTCCCACCAACACCTTCTTTCTTATTCCTAATAGAGTCCATGCTCTTCCTGCATGCAGGTGCCCCATTCTTGAAGGTGGTGCACGTCAACTGCAAGCAGAGGGAACATCTCAGGCACAGCTCATAATTTGCAAAACATGCTGAGTGCTAGGATTTCTGATACCCAGTGTTTCAGTTTAGTTACAATAAAATATCAGGGAAAATTAATAAGCTTGAAACACGATGCTCAGGAGGTGAGTGCCAAGCTCTGGGGGAGGCTGGGAAGGCTCCAGCCAGGAGTGGGGCACTTTCCTAGGAAAAGTGCACACATGGGGCACGGCTGACAGAGTCCAGAGGCAGCTCTGCTGTGCAGGGCTCCTCCAAGCCGAGATAAGACTGTGGGGAAGTGGGATGCCTTGCAGAGGGGGAGGGTGAACCCTTTGGGCTTCAAAAGCCTCACACTGAAAAGCTGTCACACTGAAACGAAGCCTCAGATCCTGGTGACAACCTGGGCTTGTCCACCCTGGCTGCAGGTACCAGCCAGGCTCTGCTCCCTGCACAGCCCAGTTGGATGCCAAAGGCTCTGCTTAAGCACTTCAGCAAGTGAACCTGGTGTGCTGAGCACTCAGCAGCTCCTCTTGACTTCTGAGTCCTCTTAACTTTGCCCTTCTCTCAAAATTCCCACCAGTTGTCAGGGAAGGAAGCTCAGGAGAAATGTTTTCTTCCACATTTTTCTCTCTGCCTCTCTCCAGGGCGTATAGCTCTCATGTATATCCCACTTGCCATGCTATCCTTGTGCCATCCTTTTTTTAAAATGTAAAGCCAATTTACTAGCTAGTGTCTTTCCAAAAGAGGAAATAAACCAGGAAAATCCTCTGAGAAACTCTGTGTTCTGACTCAAAACCACAGATTTTCTACTAGGTTTGTGCCAGTTAGATTCTAGCCTCGGAATGACTGAAATTACATGCCCAGAGCCAGCACACAAATAAATATTTCTGCTATCTAGGAGGAGAACCATTTTTATCATTAAAAAGATTGGTTGCACCCTAAGGTTTTAAAGGGGCACAGAGCTGAGGGTTTCACTTGGAGAAGTGATTGCTGATAATGTGATATTATCCCACAGCTCCACACTAGCTGGAGAAAAGATGGTTTGGGTTGGAAGGACCCTTAAAGATCACCCAGTTCTGTCACAAGCAGGGATACCTTCCACAACACTTCCAGGTTGCTCCAGCCTGGCCTTGGACACTTCCAGAGATGAGGCAGCCACAGCTTCTGTGCCAGGGCCTCCCCATCCTCACAGGGAAGAATTTTTTAGATCCCTAAAGGACTTGTTCCTACAGGCCTGGCTTAGCAGCAGTGTCTCTGCAAGACCCTGTCCATTCTCTTTCCTTGGACTATCTGGATTATGTCATAGCAAAATACAATCAATGCACCTTTGATCAATGGAACAGGGTGGTGACAGGTACTCTTAATTCAGTGTTGTTAGTGAGTATTGACAAGCCTGTAATGATCATGCTGCAGTGTGTCACTCACACTGGGGGCATTAGCATTCTTTAAAGGTCAAAACCCAAATCCTTCCAGAACACAGAATTCCATACAGTTAATGGAAAACGTGGGCTTGGAGAAGTAAGGATGTGTGAGATTATCAGGGCTGAAGTTGGCACAGTTGTTGGCATTATTAATGACTTCAGTGACTTGCAGGTGTACAAACCCCAAATTCAGAGAATGAGTTGGAAGGAACCCACACAGATCATCAAAGTCCAACTCCTGGCCCTGCACTGGGACAGCCCCAAGAATCACACACAGGCATATACACACAGCAAGGATGAACACAATGTGAAAAAACAGCATCAGAAAATTTCCAGGCTTATGTGCACAGATCAGGTAATTTCCAGAGGTCTGGTTCCAATACAGCCCTTGGATCCTCCAAGGGATCCATGGGAAGCTGATTTCTGTATGCATTTGTCTGCACTCTGCCCATTTTCAGCTGGGTACCAGACGAGCTTATCAACTTATACATGCAAGTTTGCAGAATCGAATTATTTATGAGCTCACTTTAAAATTCTGCTGGTTTATTTTCATCCATTTAAAGAAGTGGCACATAAATGCTGTCCAATGGCAAGAAGAGGGGAGAAGAGAGTCCTAATTTTCAAGATGCTGTTTCTGAATTGAGAAAGGGAACAATAAGAATCAAAGGAAAAAAAAAAGCAACTTGGATTGCAGAAACCACATAAACTGGCCACAAAATGATACTTACTTTGTGAGACTCTTACTAGCTCAGTCACACTGAAAACACCTGATGTGACAAAACTGTCCTGGAAGCCCAAATGTCCTACAAAACAAACAGAGTGAGAGAACTGCGATTAGCTTTAAGCATTTAATGACAGTATTCTCAAATACTTTACTTTCATTTACACTTAAAATGTGACATCTAATTTCCCACTTAGCAGTAATTATTGTTTATGTAGGTGGGTAACCAGTCATACAGCTATGTAGGCTGCTTTGTGGTTTCTATCTAGAGGTTAGGAAAGCTAACATGACACATCAGCAGGGAGATTTTTACATGTTAAAGCATCTCAACAGGAAATCTGAAACAAAAGAGGACTATTTTAATAAACGGTTACCTTGGATGACCCCTAATGACTTCACAACTGAAATGAAAATACTGTACCTAGGAAACAGACAGGACAGCTAAGTTCCATAATCGTTTTAAACATTATTCTCTAAAGAAACATCTGATCAGGATTATCTACCCATTCATTCAAACCAAACAAGATTTAAAGATGTATTCTTCATTTTTCTAAGGTTACACTGGGGGGATCTTAAGAGAGCAGATGGTTAAAAAAATTTAAATTAAGGCCTTTTCAACTAAAAAAAAAAATTCTAACATTTAAAACTAGATTTTGAAAAGAAAAATAAATCTCTGCATCAGAAAAAAGTAATAACTTTGTGGACTGTCTGTAGGAACCAGGGCGGACTCATCCACACTCCCTGTGCAAGGAATGCCTCTACACCGGGTATCAAAGTGTGATGGCACTTTACATAACAGTATTTTCCTTCTTCTCTGCAAACATGCCTACCACCAAATGTTCATTTAATTTTCACGGGTATGCTCAGTGACAAAGGAGCAGCCCGGGCTGCAGCCCAGGCCGGGATCGGGCGGGACAGAGCCGGACTTCAATTAGAGGGAGGGCTGCACTGGGCCAGGCTGACCTCCTGCTCTGGAAATCAGGGTCACAGGAGAAATCGCAGGATAAAGGGATTATTAAAAGAACTGTAAAGTCCTGCTTGCCCACAGGATAAGTGGCATACCTTTTTAGGTTGTCCTACTTAGAGTCACCGATTCCGGCGCACGCACACATTTATTATTGAATGTTTTGCAGGGCCACCATCTGCTCCATCGTTAATTGTTTGTCAGGCTCGGTACGATTTCCCTGCATCCCATACATCCTCCTGCACCCCACGCTCATGCTGGGGATACCTGTGCACCTTTCTCCAATGGCCAGAGGGACAGGGGTAATGCCAGCAGCACATTTGTACTCCTGGCTTTCTTTTGGGGTTGTTTAAACAAAGTCAGAATATCCCACTGCCACTTCTACCTGAGGAATGGGATGCAAAAAGAATACAGCTCTACAGAGGGTGGAATGTCAGGCAGTGTGTCAGGGAAAGGTTTGGGAGAGATCTGGAGGGAGGTGAGCTGTTCACCTCCAGCCAAGATCTCATGGAATTCTGCTCCTACACAGAAGAAATTCCCTGTTTCTGCAAGGAGCCCACGGTGCCAGATGAACACAATCTCTAAGCTAACAGACTCGAGACAAGTTTCTGCATCAGGCATGTTTTTATACTCCAGCAATAATGATGAGTTTTCAAACTGTGTATATGTATATCTTTGGGCATCCTTGTGTATGTGTGTATACATATGTATTATGTACACAAACATATAAATATACACAAATCTGTCATGCTCCAGCTGTAGATAAATGTACTATAAAATATTGAAATTGATGCTGAAATTCAACACAAACAAATTCCTCAATCTGCAAACAAGGTTTTTGTTTACATCAAGAGAATAAATTTTTCTCTACTTCAAATGAAAAAAAAATGTTCTTACAAGGTTTTATTTTTCCTTATTTTCAATTTAGAAATAGCTCCCTGATAGCTGTTAAATGCTTTTGCCTGATCTGCTTTGTACTTTCCCACAATAAAGGTGATGACTACCTCATTCTGCTTTTTAGAAACAGTTGCTGCCCATACACAACGTTTGTTCATCGCCGATTTCCCAAGTATTTTTAATATGAAGATCTACTTTTCATATGCTGCAGCAGACCTGCCTATTGAATTAAATGATCTGTGAATTAAAAATAATTCTCTTAGGTCTTCACTGAAACCACTCATGTGCCTAAAATTAAGCATATGCTTAAGTGCCTTGCTGGATGGGGGCCAGGACGCTTACTACTCCGCAGAGCCCTTCGGAGGGAAGGCAGCCTATGCTATGTAACTTCTCACACTGTGCTCATCATGGCAGCATCTGAGCAACTTCCAGAAGTGCATCCAGCAATGCCACGAACATCTGCCACGTGTTGTTCCTTTCTGCAGAGCACCACACTGGCTCTGCTCTGCTGTCCACTCCCACCTGTGTTTCCCAGGCAGGTCCCTGCCGCACGGAGAGTGAAGGTGAAATTTAAATATGGAAGGGGAAAAAAAACCCCCACCCTGAATCGTAGCCATGGTGGGATATTTGGCTGATTTTTTTAAAAGGAAAGCCCAGAGCCTTTTGCAATTATCCAGTAAAAATGTGATATCGTGGCAAGGCGATCCACATTACTTTAACCTGTCACACACAGGTGAAACCAGAAATGAAAGTGCCATTTTAAATACGTCCTAACTCTCAGGGCATGAGAGAAGATGAATAAGTTATCTTGAGCATGCTGACTTGAATATTCCTATCTTGGGTATGCTTGAAATGTCCACTTACTCCTGCAAGAACATTCCTTATGGGAGCACAGGTAACAGTAATCATTAAACAACAGCATGGAATGAGCATGGTTAGATTTTCATCCTTCAATACCAAAAATAAACATTTCACAAATGAAAGGTGAGTTTCACAACTCTCCAATTTGATATTTACTTATAAACATTATGAAATCGGGCTTCTCTTGCCAATCATTAAGAATACCTTGATACTCACAAAAGCCATGCCCTTAGCTTAGAGCTGGATCATGAATGTATTTTGAGGTATGGTTGGTCTGTGAATTTGCAGTTCAGTAGAACCCCATGGAATTTTTAAAGGTTTGCCTGGATGGTTCAGATTGCAAAATCCAGGTCTAAGACTCTTGTTTTTGCTGAGCTAGGATAACAGTGAGAGAAGAAAAGGAGGGAAATAGTACAAAGAACTTAAATGTGCAAAAGAAGAATTACTGGGAAACAGCAGCATTGACAAAAGATGCGAAGCTAACATTATTAACAGGGGTCAAAATGCAAAAAAGGTATCAGTATTTTGATCCAATTTAGGGGATCAAAAGCTGATCCACTAAATTCTGAATGAGAAGAAAAATAGGTAAAGTCAAGCAATTACTTATGCAGATGTTAGCATTAACAAGCTCCTGCACTGAAAAGATGATTAAGCATCCTGAAAGCTTCCAAGATTTATTTTCATAGGGCACTTTACTGAAATACTTGCACTGTGATAATTTTGCTCAATATCCAAGAGATTGGGACATTGAAACTGCTGTGTATGACAGGCTTTGTGCAACAGTCACAGTTTGGAAGTAAAGCAGGTGCTCAAAATGAATCTTGCAGAGTTCATTCAATGAAATTTTGGGTACAAAATTAAGACACGTGGCTGGCCAGGGCAGGCTGACTCAGCAAAGCTGTTGGAGCACGTGCTTTATTTCCATCACATGCCTGACTAAAGCACGTGCTCGCTGCCCTGCCAAACAAAGGTGGGCTGACAACCTCCAGGAGGGATTAAAATAAATATTTCAAAAATTCCTTCAGTCGAGTCTAGGGGCAGGTAGGACTTAGCTCATCACCTAAGATCTCTCTTTGGCCCACTAAGATGATCACCTTTCCCCTAAGGGGGGAAAATAGCCAGGATAATAAGACCAAATTGAATAAATAAGATCAGGATAGTAACTAATAAGTCATTGTGCACAACGGCACAATATTATTGTACCAAGTACCACATGGAAAACATCTTTCCATAACTTGATGGCTGCTTTAATTGGGGAGAAAAATCCCAATGCCATTTACATATTCTTCTTTTGGATCCCAGCAAAGAAGCCAGAAGAAAAGGCTTCAGTTGCTGGAGCCTAATTCTGATCTCTCTCAAAGAAGTTTTAAACAAATCTTTCTGCACCGATCAAATGGAGTTTCACCTCATTTTCTCCTAATTTACACTGGCAGAGGAGAAATCAGGATTAGGACTTGTTGTCTAGTGCTATTTGTTTTGAATTATTAAGCAAACATTCCTATTTCAATGAGTAAACGTGTACAAAGGCAACTAACCTTCGTCCTAAAATGGAGTTTACAGGGAGAGTATTGTCTGCTTTCCCAATTAATGCAGTAAAAAGAAGTCTCAGACGTTGAGCTACCAATCAAGAGCTTGTGTTGTAGCTTGAGAAAATCATGACTGATGCAATTACTTTTATGTAGAAAGACTGAATATAGTCTATAGGTTAAAGTTCATGGGGTTATTGTTCCTTAATTGAATATCTGAAGATGTTTTCAAGGTGCTCAAGGTATTATTGTTATTTAATTAGCAGGCTTCCTTGTGTAATCCAACAGTATTATTTTTGCTATAAAATAGTTAGATTGCACCATAAATATACAAGGTATTTTCCAAACAGAGATACAGCTGGTTTCCTGAAAGCCAAGCTTAAATAAAACCAGGAGAGAGTTACTACTTTGAAGATGAAGAAGTCCAAATCCAGTTGTTTTTCTTCCACTACAATCTGAGTGACAATGTAATAAGCTTCAGAGAACAGCTTTTTGGGAGACTTTGATTTCTTTTCAGTGTTTTGAAATTGCACAAGTTCCCCAAACTAGCACTGAACCCATTTCTAAAGCTTTTTTCATGTTCAGCATCTCACTATACATAGCCATCTTAAAACCTTAAAATAGTAATAATCAATTAGGGTCTCAAGCCTATTATCTTCACCAAATGCCTGATTAAAAGAAAAGCCCTCTCTGCTCGAAGTGCAACTTGATTCCTTTTGGTTTTATCCTCTATCTAGATAATCCCATGTTTCACAAACAATGCCGAGCCATAATGTGGATGAGAAAATTAATGTCTGTATCACACAGCACACGCAGGGCTGGAGAGAGGGGATG